CCCAGATCGTGCGCGCCCCGGCCCGTCGCCAGCCTCCGCCGACGGCGCGGCTCAGTCGATCCTCTCCACCTTGCCCAGAATCCTGCCCTCGTACATGGGGAGCACGGCCTCGTCGTCCCAGATCTCCTCAAACACCGCTCCGCAGGCAAACTCGTCACTTGCTTTCTTGAAGTAATACCTTAAGAAGGAAGACCCAAAACGCATCTTGGTAAGACTGCGTTTTCTGCTTTAGAAGCAACGCAGGTCCACGCTGAGGGCGGAGGCCTCTCGAGGAGTCTGCCGCAGCAGGTGTACAGGTGCCCTTGCCTGGCTGAGAGGGTCCCACAGCTCCCAGGGCGGGCTAAGGGGACACACGGGCGGGCAAGTCACTGGGGAGGAAATCTGGGCACCCGGCAAGCAGCAGCCTGGGCGGGGGCCCCTGCAAATAGCTCCGAGGCTACAGCCTTCAGCCCAGGACTGCTGCAGTCACCGACACCCACACTGGAAAAAGTGCCCTTTGCGGAGTACGGCTGCTGCTTTCTCCCCTCGTGGAGTGGGAGTGGGGTGGGAAGGGCAAAGCAGGCTGAGTTCATCTGCCGCTACAGCCAAGACAGGGGTCCTTCGGGGCCCAGACTGAGCCACCCTGACCTGTGGAAGGCAGACTCCAGCGAGTTGGTCTGGAGGGGACACCTCTTGATCTTACCACCCTCCAGCACCCAGTGGCCAACTCCTCCAGCTGGTCTCTGGCACAGCCACGGGACAGCCACCCCTCCCTTCTCTCCCCCACCCCTCCAGGGTCAAACACGAAGGGCCCTTCTATTATGCCAGTTGATTAAAGGTTCCTTTTATCCCACCCTGGCCTTCTTTCTTCTAAGGCTGTTTAATTGTATGGACTCAAATGAGCAGTCTCCCTCCAGCCGGCCCCTCTCGGAGAGTCCCATTTGGAAATGGCTGTCCTCCCAGGACCACTCCCAGGAAAAGCAGCGAAGGCCTCTTCTTTCCCCATCCCCAGCCAGGGACACCCCTCGATCGGATTAAAGGTGTCCCTGCAAGCTGTCATCTCCAACCAATAAAGGCCAGTCACGGAGGGAGGGTCACAGTCCCCTGGGGGGAGGGGGACAGCCTCTCTAAAAAACTTAATTGTGTCTCAGGGTTATGGCTGCACTTTGTTTTTGTCCTTTCTCTTAAAATTAATTCCCCTTGGTTAGAGCTGAATTTTTTTTTCTCCTTTAATGAAGGCAAGCCAAATACTTTCCTGGGAGATAAGGCTAGCTAAAGTGAAACAGCTGGGTTTAGTCAAGGCCCTTTGTTTTTAGCATTCCCAGCCCAGCTGAAGCGCAGCTCGAAGGGGCCCATGGTGGAAAGGCTTCCTATGGCGGGGTTGGGATATCTGGGGGGGCCTGGGAGGAGATGGCAAGAGTGGGGAGGGGCATTGGGCACAGGAGACCCCGGAAGGCAGGAAGAGGTACTTTTCCAAATGAGAGGCTCCCATCCCAACACCACCCTCAGCCCCCAGCGCCAACCCCCCTTGGATTCACCAGGCTGGGCTTTCATGGCCAACACCCATGACCTTTCACATAACTGCACCCTCTTCCAGAGAGGAGAGAGGCAATGCTCCCCCGGCCCCACCCCTGAGACTTCAAAAGTGCCCGCTGCCCTCCTTTCCCCCCGAGAAGCGGTCTTTTCCACTGCAACAGGCTTTATGTGGCAAACTCAGCTCTCTTCTGACATCTGGCACCAATAGCGTCTGGCACGGCCAGAGGGGCTGTTCTCTTTTTGAACCTCTGCCACGGTGAGATTACTCAACGCAGCCCAGGTCCCCGGCTCTGCAGACCCAAGCTCCCCGGGCTTTTTCCTGGGGGGTGGGGTGGAGGTGGAAACTGAACACTGGAGCATCACCCCTGCTGGGCGAGGGGCGAGGCATGGCACCCAGTGCCCCCACGGCCCAGGAGGACAGGGAGCCTTGCTCTGGCCAGGAGAGCCAGTCAAGAGAGATAAGGAGCTGGGAGGGGCCTGGCCACAGCCTGATCCAATCAGTCAAGAATGTGAGCGTGGACCGTTTGTGCAAGTCTTTGTGCATTAAAGGGGAGGCCGGGGCTTCAAAGCCAGGCTTATTAAGTGTGCCTTAGAAAAAAAAAATCAGAGCCAGATGTGGCCGGAGTGGCTGAGTGCCTAGCCCCCCCTGCAGCCTCTCTGCTCAGCACTCTGTGGCTCCTGTCCCCTGAAGGTCACCTGCAGTTCCCCTAAGTCCAGCCGAGTCAAAGCAGAGACCAAAATGAATCCCTGGAGGGGCACACTTGTGTAATTAGTTTCGCCTTGTGTCTGTTCCAGATAAAAAAAGCAGCAGCAGCCAGGCCTGTTCCCCACCCCCTCTGATAGTTTCAGAATTGTCTCAGCCCAGGTGTAAAAGGGAAGGATTGAGGCCTAGCGCCACGCCCTGCTCGCCAGCCACCGACAGTCCCAGCCCGGACCCCATCCCTTGCCCTGAAAAAGCAATCACTCGGGGCCCCTGCCCAAACCAGCCACTGGGTGGAGGTGGCTGCTTGGGAAGACATGTGTCTTAGGGGCCTGGAGGTGGGCAAGCTTGCGTCCAGAAGCCGGTGCCCACCTGGCAGGTGGCTAAGGGCTATCATCCCCGGTTGGAGGCAGGAATGAGCTGGCACCTTCTGGACACAAACTGTGCTCCTTAAGCTGTGTGCCTGGCCCCTCACTTGCCTGTCCCTAGTCCCAGCAACCTGACACACAGCTGGAGCAGAACCCACACACTCCCCTGGGAGGAAGGCCATCGAGGAGGGGCAGGTGGGACTTTGGATGGGCGAAGGTGGGGTCACTACCTGTCCCCAGGTAAGGGGAAAATGAACAGGGAATGAGGCCCTTAGCGCTCATCCTGACTGGGTTCCTGAAAGGCCTGGGTGGGCAAGTTCCCTTCCCAAGGGCCCTGTCCACCTGGTGTCCACCCACAGGTCCTGTCCCCTCTTTGTTATGGACGAAAGAGCACCCTGCCTCATGTGACCCCTGAGACAGAGGGAGGCTCTTCAGGCAGAAAAGTTAAGTGAGGACGCCGCCTGCATTTCCGGGCAGTGGTCTCGGCCCCTGCCCAAGCCTTTAGTGCGGAGTCTCTCCGACACCCAAGCCCGGGCCGCAGTCTTTCTAAGCGGTCTGCCCACCTGTGTGTCCACCCACCTCTCCCTGTCTCCCCCCAACCTCTCCCCCTTTCAGGCAGAGCCCCACAAGATGGCCCAAGCCCAGCTCTCCTCCTGCCACCTCTCTCCTCAGCACCCTGTTCACCTGGCAGAAAAAACCCGTCCAGGTCGCACAGCCCTACTCACTGCTGCTGCCGCGTTATTTCTGTGAGGGGATGGGAGAGAGAGAGTGAGAACGAACCAAAGCGTCAGGCAAGAGCCCACTCCACGGCTTCCCGGGGCGCCCCCGCAGGTCTGACCAGGCCAGGGACTCGACTCTGGCTCCCGGTTCTGGGCAAACAAACTCCAGAGCAGAAAGAAGCCACAGGACTCTTACCTATAATTTCCCTTTTTGCTGAGCTGCTCTTTAAAGTGGCCGAGGGTCAGGCTCTGAGCCTTCAGCAGCCTCCTGTATGGAATTTCTTCTCCACAGAAAAAGTACGTGACGACCAGCTCGCTGGCCTGGAGCGCGTGGACCCCTGCTGGTTTCTTTGGCTCTTTGTGACTGAAAATAAGAGGCAACACAAGCAGCTCAGCATCTGAAAGAACAGAAGCGCCAGGCACGAGAACACATACACACGCACAGTCGCTAGAGGTCAAGTGAGGCTGTAGCTGGAAGCTCAAAAGGGCGCCTGGGTGTGGGGCGCCCATGTCCCAGAGACAGCCACCTCTGGTGAGCACACAGTCCAACTCCAGGTCACCTGTGTGGGGCACAGGAAGGGACAATTCCCTCGGATGTACAAATTGCTATTGTTTCTCTCGCTACCACCAAACGGGGGGACAGAGCAGTCTCTTTCAGGTTGGCACAAGTGGGGGGCCTCCTACCACAGAGCCACAGGGGCACTCATGCTCAGGGTGCGCTGTGGAGACAAACTCAAGAGAGCCTCCTGGGGTGGCATGAGCTCGGAATGCTAGGGCCCACTGGGGAAGGCGGGAGGGGGAGCCCACAGTCATTTCAACTTCCCCATTTATTCGGAGTTTTTGCAGAGCAGCTTAAAAAAAGCAGAACAACAAGCTGTGGGCCAGGACAGCTGGTAGACTTAAGGTCAACCAATTAAACCAAAGGGTCCAGGGTGTTGGCTTACTCAGGACTTCAAACACTGCTCATTGCTCACGATAAAGAGGCTAAGAAAGTACTTTAATTATTTAGACCATTTTAGATCTCTTCGGCAGATTCCTTTTTACATGCACCATCCTGTAATTAAACGAAGCCAGGTTTCTCTGTCCAGGTTGTGAGAGTGCAAATTCAAATTTATGAGAGGAATCATGGCACGATTGGGGGTGATTCTGTTTCCCCCAAGCAAAACAATGAATCCTGCCTCCATCTCTGCAATGGTGGACAGCCACCTTCCTGCTCCACGTGACACAAAGAGGCTTCCAATGTGCTAACTTGCAGCTACATGGGGGCAACCTTTGCGTCCGGGTTTAGGGCCCTTTTATCCCTCTGCTCGTGGCTTTAGGTCCCAGCCTTTGATTAGTGTGTGCCCGGGAACCCTGAGCCATCCATCACTTCGGGAAGGAACACTTGTGTACAAGTCACGATGCCTTGCTCAGTACAGGCGGGCTTTTCACGATCCTAATTTACGGTAACATCTGTATTTACGATTCCTTGTCACTAACATGTTAAAATCGAGGAGATTTTATGTATTAAAAAATGTGTTCGAAAATCGCAACTCCCAACTGTGAACACCCTGAAATGGGTGGCTCTCGGCAAAGGCACTCACTCTTCTGCAGCCAGGCTTGGGGTGGAGAAGGGTGTGGCTCCTGTCTGACCATTGGCCAAGTGGTTCCTGTCCCTCTGCTGACTGGCCACACAGCACCTGAGGACACAGCCAGAGCGAAGGGGTCAGAGGTAAGCCTGCTGTCCCCAGGGCAAATGGGGAGCAGACAAAAACTACTCTCTGTGGTCCTCTAAACAGACACAGACCCAGTTTCCAGCCATCGGTAGACCCAACCAGGGCCTTGTGTTCACAGTGGCTCTAGGAGGCCTAGAGGACGTCTTGGGCACAGCCCTCCTGAGCCCTCCTGGGAACCTAGGACAGGACACTGCCAGCCTAGGCAGAGGACTGCAGGCTTAGATTCCTCATTGGTGAGTCCTGGCTTCTCATATGCTCACCTAACCAGGCTTAAATGACCGGATATTTGTAAAAAATGGGATTTGTAAGGAATTACTGAATGACTGGCCTAGCAGATCCTGATTAGCTCTTCAGGACGAATGGAGCTAAAGGCAACAATTTCTAGAGGTTGGAAAGGACAATGCAATGCGGCCAAAAGCAATAGCTCCTCCCTGCGGAAAGATGAGACCCAGCAGAAAAGAAGGCCCTTCCTTCCCTTAGCAACAGGGTAGGTCTCGCCCCCACCCTCCACACCCAGCGCCGGCCTTTCACCTGAGGCCGCTTCTACTCACCGCTGCTTTGGGGGTTTCGACACCTCGGCCAGCCTGCGACAGGCCTCCTCCAGCTGTGCCAGCGTGTTGGGTGGGGTCAGGGGAGGCATCGCAGGGTCCTGGGTAAACGGGTGGGCGCGAGCGGCGGCTCGAGGGTGCCCGCTGCTGCCTCCCCACAGGTGGTGCCGGCCAGCTCGCTCGGCAGGGGGCACACGGGCAGACTCCAACGGGTAGGCCTTTTTTGTGCTTTGGGCACTGAACGAGTAATGAGGAAAGAGAAAACAGAAGGGGGGAAAAACTGGGTTAGAAAAACTGGAAAATGTGACTTCAAGAGGAACTTTTTTATTATGCCTTCAGAGAGGAAAGAAAAAATAACTACCATAGCACGAACAGGGGGCGCTGCCCAAACACGGCATTTTTGGGGTCTGCTCAGTCCAACGTTTAATAGTAAGATGGCAGATGTGAACTGTCATATTTGTTTCTGGCCCACTGCAAAAATAGCCAACCCCCGATGCCCCTGTGGCTGCCCGGCCCTCCTGGGGGTGGCGCCCGCAGCCGCGGTGTTTACCTATGGGGCTTGGGCTTGCTGGGCCGCTCCGTCTCCAGCATCCACTGCCAGACATCCTGCGACCTGTCTCCTTCCTCCCCAGGCAGTTGCAGGGCCCCGGCTCCTTCCCTGGAGGCCAGGGCAAGGCTGGGCTCGGAGGCTCTGGCACTGCGCCTGGGCAGGGTGCTGCCTCGGCTGCCACTGTGGGGAACCAAGAACCACACTCCTTACCTCTCTGGGACTCCCCCATGGGACAGGTGGGCAGGTGGTGGGGTGACATGCACCTGCTCCCCCTGCCCCCCCACCTTGTGCTCTCTTTCCTGGAAACAAAGTGCCCCTGACCTCTGACCCCACCTCACACCTGCCCAGGGCTGTGGTTCGGACAGGAGCCCCCCTGGGACAGTCCGGTAGCCCGACACTTACCCGAACTGCTCTGTGGGCCCGGGCTCCGGAGCCTTGGGGTGGCTCTTACACTTGGAGTAGCAGTAATACTCGGGGGCCCCGGGGCAGAAGCAGCGCACCCTGTGTGCCGCCTCCGCCTCCACCTCCTCCTTGGTCTTGGGGAGGGCGTGATGGTGGATGTAGTGGTGGTGGACGTGCTTCGTGGTCTGCTTGGTCACGAAGCCCTTGGCCCCGAGCAGGGGGCAGCCGGCTGGCGAGGCGGCGGGGGGCAGCTTGCCCCCCGGGGGGAGGAGGGGGTGGTACAGCTGCTGGTGGTGGTGGTGGTGGTCAGGGGAGCGGGAGCGCGGGCTGTAGCGGCCCACGCCGGGGGACTGGCAGCCGGGGGTCTTGAGGACCCTGGACAGGTGGTCGTCCAGAATTGTCTGCGGGTCCTCTTCGTAGCTGCCAGAGGGCAGGAGGGAGAGGGGGTGCTGGGCAGGCGTCCCGTCTCGGGAGCCCAGCATCAGCTCGGGGCCCTCCTTCTCTTCATCCTGGAGGGGAAGGTGG